GCTCTCTGGTGGACAAACCGTGTTCTGCTAGAGCAGCCTCCCTCTCCTCCATCCTCATCCTTCTGAAGCTTTTTCAGCGTTGACATTAAACCACCAGTTCTCCTTCACACCCTCCAAGAACTGTGAGTTTCTGGCTCTGCACCCTCGCTGCATACCTCCTGCCTCAAAGACCTACAGGGTAACTTGGAGAGGATCTGTACTTTACTTCACTCGGCTCCAAGATTTGCTCTCATGGCTTCTCCTGCTAAACCTTTACAGATGACACTAAACTGCTTCCCTCTTTTCCACGCTCTGAAACACAGGTGGTCTTATGTATCTCTGCTTGTCCGGCTAACATCTCTCAGTGGATGCTTGCACACCACCTGAAGCTCAACCCAGACAAGACAGAACTGCTCTTCCTTCCAGGTAAAGACTCTCCCATCCATGATCTCTCCATCAACACCGGCACCTCTGTTGTTTCCCAAACTCACACTGGCAGGAATCTGGATGTGATATTCAATGACCAACTTTCCTTCACTGCTAACATGGCTGCTCCTCCGCTCCTACTCAACATAAGGATACGTCTCCTACTGACCCAGAAAGCAACACAGGTTCTGGTCCAGGCCCTTGACCTCTCACGACTTGATTACTAAAACTCTGGGACTCCCTCCTGGCTGGTCTACCTGCAAGCACCATCCAACCTTTGCGACTCATTCAAACTGCTGCAGCTCGACTGGTTTTCAACCACCCTAAGTTCCCCTTCCACTGCTACGCCGACGATGTACAGATCTATCTGCCACTCAATTCAAATGTAAACTCATTACAGCTATTGATGGACTGCTTAGCAGAGATCAAATCCTGGCTGAGCCAACATTTCCTCAACCTCAATGAGAGCAAGACTGAGGTTATCTTTTTTGGACCCCAACCTCTAGCCTCCCAGGTTGATATTCTGGGCTCCCCTCTGTCACGAACCTTGGAGTGACCTTCAATAGCGCTTTTAAATTCGATAAGCAGGTCAGCAGCGTAGTCAAAACCTGCTTTTTTAAAATACGACTATTGGCCAAGACCAAGTCGTTTTTATCGTTTGAGGACCTGGAAAGGGTTATTAACGCCTTTGTTACCTCGAGGTTGGACTACTGCACTTTGGTTTATTGACCTTTTTTATTGTAAAGATCATTATGGTTCATTTATTCTATTCTGAGTAAAACTACCTTCTAGTTGGAGTGAAATTACGTTCGATTGGGAATAAAATGACCTTCTATTATGAGTAAAATGGCAGTAGAGTTGTTTTTAATATACACTACGTAAATAACCATTAAGCAGAGTCAAATCTAAGCACATAATAGAGTAAAATGAACTCTAAAAATACAACTCTGAACAAAGAGTACATTTTACTCTATATAGGTTGGGACCAAATGTAATATTTTTAGAGTAACATTTTCTTCAATTTGAGTCAATTTTACTCAGAGGAATTTACTGTGACATATTTGCATACATATTTTTATATATATTTGTTTTTGTGTTCGGAGTTGTGGGAAACGGTATTTCGATCTCTCTGTCCGTACACACAAATTGGAAATTTAACAATAAAGTTGACTTTGATTTTATGACTTTGAAGGAGAACTGGTGGTTTAATGTCAACACTGAAAAAGGTTCAGAAGGATGAGGATGGAGGAGAGGGAGGCTGCTCTAGCAGAACACGGTTTGTCCCCAGAGAGCAGCAAAGAATATATTTTTAACTATAGAAAAATTCATATTCTGCTAAACTGTTTAAAAAATGCAGAATATTAGGTATGTTTCATGTGACCGAAGGGCAGAGCAACGGTGCAGCCTGGGCTACTGCAATGCATGCTGGGACACAGGCCATGAAGAAGTAATGCCTTGTTTACATGCTGCTGTAACACATTTTTAATTTCACATAAATAAAGTATTTATTCTAATTATATAATCTGATAATCACCTCTGTGGTACTGAAGACACTATTTATGTCAGAAGTTAGTCAATTATTTATTTGAGTTTATTTTGGTTATAATTTCTCCCGGAAAACACATTTATTTCTCAGTTTTAAGGATTTTAACCCTCTTAGTATACGTCAGTAAAACTCACCATGCACTCTAGAAGCTTGTGTTCAATATGTTTGTAATTAATTCAATTAATAAACACTACCACAATAAAGTTAGTTGATAGGTCAAACAACAACAACAACAAAAAGCAAATTGATTAACCATCTGTAACTCTTTTCAGGTACGGTGGTGCTGACGTTGGAGACAGAACGATGATGAGTTATCGTCTCATTTCTCTGCATCTTTTCTAGTTTAAAACATATTTTCTGAACATACTATTTATCCGTTCCTCAGCAGCAAGATAGTCATTAAAAAGCTTCTTACATCTCTTTCCCTCCTCCTCTCCAGTTGGATGCTTTGTGTCCTGCTGTGGATGAGCTGATGAAGCTGAAAACAGCTCCACCCGGTGGACAGGTGGCTGTACTGCAGAATGCTGTGAAGGTAACATAAATAATCTTTTTAATTATAAGACTTCCTTATGGGGACATAATGGAGGTCCCCATAAGGGGAATCATTCATTTTAGGGTGAAGACTTGGTTAGGGTTAGGCATGTGTTGGTTATGGTTAAGGTTAGGATAAGTCTCAAGGTAATGCATGTAAGTCAATGTAATGTCCCCTGAAGTGATGTGTACATGGTATATGTGTGTGTGTGTGTGTGTGTGTGTGTGTGTGTGTGTGTGTGTGTGTGTGTGTGTGTGTGTGTGTGTGTGTGTGTGTGTGTGTGTGTGTGTGTGTGCAGAGTCTGCAGCGGTGTCGCAGAACCCCCCCGACCCGTCTGGTAACACGGAGCCCGTTTCTTAAACCATGTAAAATGTATGTGTGCATAAAGCTGAGTTATGATCGGTCATAATAACACAGAATTTGGTGATATATTGTGTGTATATAATAATAATTTAAGATGTGAAATTAATTCCAGTTTATTTGTAGCACTTTCTTTTTTTATTGTGTAATTTGGTGGCATCAATGTGTGCATTAGATACAGATAATGGAGCAGTTGCCCTTAAGGTCAAATCATGTGATCCTCGAACACCCATCCCCCCCCCCCCCAAAAAATAAATAAATAAAACATTTGCTAAATAGAATTGATTAATTTGACAATACAAATATTTGAATAACCATCTATGGCATGAGTTTTTATTTTTGGGGTAGAAATATCTGTGGTGATCTAGGGGGTCCCTAATGGGTATCTAATGTGGGTATCTGTGCAAGTGTGTGTGGTAATTCTAATGCAAGTGTTATCGTATGCTGAAGCATTTGGATTTCCTTTTATTTGAACTAGTGGACCAAAGCTGGCATTAGCCCATTCTCAAAGTTCAACTCTTCGTGAATATTAATTTAACAGTTGGGCTGCTTTTAAGTGTCAAGAGAACACAGGAATGAAGTTGTGAGTTATTTTGATCTTGCTCTCTTTAAGTAAAGTCTAAGGCTTTGTATTATACATGAAATATAGAGCAGGTGAAACATGTATTCAGGCCTCTTTATCAGAATAAGGACATGAAAACACTGATGCCAAATTGTATTAAAAAGGTGGCCACTGTGACTGTTGCCATGGCAGAGTTATTGAAATAGGAGAGAACTATGGGATAGGTCTGTTTAGCTGTGCTGCAAACCATAGCGTGCACTCATTTGACTTGTGATATGTTTCCTCCTAAGTCAAGTAAGAGCAGTCTTTGTTCTTGTTGTGCTGTTTTGATATGTTCATGTAAATGTGATGTTAATATTCCGGGACTCTTCCTGTGCCACACAGCGACTGACCCAGTGCTCTGTACATGGCCTGGCTGGATCAGTCAGTAATCCCTACTGTATTATGTATATTTATATTTAATATTTTACTTGAAACATGATCTGTGTAGCTAGATAATTACCAGTTAAATAAGTGGTTGTTATCACTATCTTTCTTGTAGAATTCAGACAATAGTTTCCAATCGTTCCATATCAAGTCTCAAGGTTTTTTTTAAGGTATCTCACACTGGCTTACACTTGGTCCTATTTGTTTTGAGAAATTGTTTTCTCAAAAGTATCTTGTTTATGCACGATTATTGCTATTTACTGATCTTGATATACTTTAGGATAATACTATTGAATAGTTATTGGTGTATAAAATGCCTGCACATTTATTTGAATATCCTAGTTCAATAAAATGTATGCTATTAAGAGCACTACAAAGTTCTACCATTGAAACGGAAACTGGAGTTACCGCCTGGAACTTGTATGCTTCTGCCAACCAGTCATGTAGCAGTTTACATCCATGTCTGTACAAAATGTCATCGATTCATAATTTCATCCTATCAGAAAGCTGAGTGACTTTGTGATAGCTAACATATTAATTCTTGTTACTGCCACAAAATCGTGTTTTGTGAGGTCTGAGAGACTTTTGGCCCTTTGACCACAATCAAAGGTCAAACATGTGACAGAAATGGATTCATCCTTGAGTCCAAGTGGAAGATTGTGCAAGACTTGAATGAATTCCTCACGTTCTCCTGAGATATAGCCTTCACAGGAATGAAATAGCTGGATGGACAGACTCATAAGAATAGAGACAACAAAGAGATAATGTTTTTGACTTGTTTCAGAATAAAGAAACTATGTGACTGAAATTAAAATAATATTGACACACTTGTAATATGAGGGGCTCAAATACAGCCAGACTGTTCTCTTAAAGTTTTTCGACATATGGTAACAAGCAATATTCGAACAAAAATATAACAAATATAAACATTCAATAGTTATCATTAGTGCATATCTTGGAATGGTACCTTTCTTTCCGTGTGTCAGACAGTCAACAAGGAAGAGTGTTCAACTGTTTTCCCTGTTACATGTAATTGATATTCTTCCCTTCAATGGATCATATATCCACCATGTTAGACCTCGTTGACATCTGAATTTCAATATTCAAATGTTTCCCCAAAGGTGGCTCAAAGAGAGCAGCGACCTCGTGGATATCTGAGTCTCCACCAGCACATCGAGAGAGACGGAGAGAGAAGCAGCTGACAGGACGACTCAGGAGAAGTAAGTGTGATTCTGTTCAGTCATTTTCATATTTTGTTTATTTTTGAGAAAGATATTCTCCTTCAGAATATTTTCCAAAGGGGAGGAACATTTAATGAATCACATCTCAATCAGAAGTAATGAAATCTAAAACCCTATTATGTTCATTTATTCCCTTAAATCATTTGTTTCTCTTGAAATCACTTGGAATATTTTATTTATTTATTTAAAAATCTCAGTGTTTATTTTGAATAATAAACTTTATCTAATGTTCACTTCGAAACTTTTTTTTTTTTTACAAAAGATGGGGACTTTACCAAAAACGCTGGACATTTATAATGAAAACAAAACAGTCAGAGTCTAGTGGACATAGTTTGCCCTGAGTTTTACCTTTCAGGTTCATGTTAGGTTTTTAGAGCTTTGTGTATGGGCTCAGAACAGTCTCATAATACACACATGCACACAGAAGGATTCACACTTGTATTTCATGATCCGCAAAAGGATTCACACTTGTATTTCCGGATCCACACTTGTGTTTTTCAATGCACACACAAATGTGTTCCGTTTCATATAAATGTAAATAAAATCCAAATACAGAAAAAACTTTTACATATGTATTTTTGATCCTCACATATTTGTTTTCCGTTTAAATCCCCTGAACCTACAAACACAACCCGCTTTCTGTGCATGGATCGCTGTGCATTCGTGTGTGGGTTTTTTGAGACTCCCCTGACGGTGACCCGATTCGTACTTGTAATTTTTTCTATCTATAGCCAATCAGATGTCTCCTTCATTCTAAGCCAATCACATGAGCGCGTCCCCACAAGGGTATGATTTATTGCGTTCACTTCATGACACTTCATATACGCATTTTGCGCTGTCCGGAGCAGGGTTTCCGCGGACAGAATTTATTTTACCGGACAAATTTGAAACTTACCGGTCATGTTTCAATAATAATAATAAGAAGAAGAAGAATTGTGTAGCAGAGTTTCCGTTAGCAGGTAATTACCGGACTATGACCGGATATGGCTAATAACACGGGAGTAAGGATCATCTCTTTTTTCCTCTCTCCCTCCCTCTCTCCTGACAGCCCGTCAGTTTCTCATGCAGCTCGCTAAAACTTCACTCGCGTTTATGTCCATATCGATCAGATCCAGCTCTCCTGATCAGCCTTTATAGAGAGCACCGATCAAACTATTAAGAGTGAATATCGGCCGATAATGACCGGCGGGGCTCCCCCCGTTGACAGTTCACTGTCTAGCACTGGCTTCGTAGTGCACTGATCGATTAGGCTAAGCTAACCTGTAGCTGCTCCCTCCACACTCACAACAACTTCATACAGACATAAATAAAGCAGCTGTATTCGCCATACAGGAAACACACACATTTAAAACGGTTTTGCCTGCCGTTTTTGTGTACACAAGCATTCATTAATGGTTCGGAAAGTGGCACTGTACCGTAATAATATAAAGGCTTGTATTTTCGTGCATTTCCTGCTCGGAAAGTGGCAATGTACTGAGAGTGGAGGTGTCCTGAGATTAGCGCCTGCAGGCAGGCTCCATGGACCTGTCAGCTCCGGACTGCGCAAAATGCGTACATGAAGCGCTACGTCATGAACGCAAGAAATCTACCCTCGTGGGGGCGCGCTCATGTGATTGGCTTAGAATTGAGGAGACATCTGATTGGCTATAGATAGAAAAAATTACAAGTACGAATCGGGTCACCGTCAGGGGAGTCTCAAATAACTCACACACGAATGCACAGCGATCCATGCACAGAAAGTGGGTTGTGTTTGCAGGTGCAGCGGTTTTAAACTGAAAACAAATATGTGAGGATCAGGGGCGTCGCCTGGACCTGAAAACATTCGGGGCTTAGCCCACAGTGGCGGCGGCGCTACAGTGGTATATTCTACTGCAACACTCCCCACACGCACACTCACAGTATACCCGCGACTGTTACAATGAAGGCTCGATAATCAGCCCACGGCATATAGGCAGGGGTAAAGTGGTATTTTTTATGAGTGGGGGGGGGGGGGACCTAACCTCCTCTAGGGGGGTCCGGGGGGGATGCTCCCCCGGGAAGATTTTTTTTTAAATATTGAAGTTAAAAGCATCAATCTGGTGCACTTTGAGAGCAACATTAAGAGATCTATGGATACCTCTCTCAACACCCATTTGAAACAGAACTGTAAACAGATTTACTTTTTCTTTAAGGATATTTTACAAATCACTCCCCTTTTAAACTCTATTCTTGTTTTACTGCCATATAGTATTTCATAACTGTTTTTCCTTTATTCTCTTTATTTTTTTAATAACTATAATGATCATATAAACGTGTGCCGCGGAAATAATCTTTTGAATCATTTGTGACCAAACCGTTTGAGACCCACTGAGATAACTTAGACTAAAGTAAACTATCTAAACACTCAGAGAGTCCTTTAGCTCACCTGAGTCTCTCAGTCTGTCAGCAGAGGACTCTCCTCCAGCTTGTTGTGGAACAAACAGCTCCTTATGTCCGTTTATCAGCTAGCTAACCAGATGCTAACAACACGGTCCCTGCTGGCACCGGTCCCTCTCTCTCTCTCTCTCTCCCTCTCTCTCTCCCTCTCTCTCTCCCTCTCTCTCTCTCTATCACACTAAATGCGCTATAGAGTGGCGAAGTCACGCCCATCTACTTCCGCCCCATGGGACCTTATTTCGGAAAAATAATGTATTGAAGTCAATGGAGAGAGAAAACGTATCTTTCGACCCCGTTTGAATTGTGCCATGAATTACACATATGATGTTTGTCAATCTTAAAAAATCATTTCCATGTCAAAAAAGTCACAGTTTGTCATAAAACTGTTGAAATATAAGACTATGAAAAATACACAACTAGAAAGACTACAAATCCCAGAGTCGCGTAAGAAGTGATATCACAATTGTTTTCCTCCACTAAGAGATAGCTAAGATCAGCGCCATATAGATATAATCTATCTATATGGCGCTGGCTAAGATAAGATAACTTTAACAAGATGCCTGTGTGCTTAGTACCAGGTTGTTATCATACCAGCAATGGGTCTTGCTCGTTCTTTCGCTTCCCGTCTGATGAAAGGACTAGGAGTGTCTGGATCAAGCTAGCTAGTAGCTAGCACGTTAGTTAGCATTACAGCCTTGTCATTTGTATTAGCCTTAACATGAAGTAACATTAAGTAACCCAAAATGTTAAACAGTAAGAGTAGTAGTCATATTTCGTGAACCCTTTGAAGAGTACTGTCACACCGGTGTGATCATTCTATAATACACAATTTAAGCCCGGGGGAGAAATGCTAACGCTAACGCTAGCGATCTTCTCTACTTCATGCTATCTGCACAAATGGTTGACATTAAACATTAAAAAGACTAGGCAGTTCAGAGAGAATCAAAGAAAGGCAGGCAGGCAGCTTTGCATGACATTCTTCAAGACGTGTTTCATTGTGGTGATAGTGAGGGTAGTCAATCGTTTTGTTGATAAGACAGTAGTGACGGCCATCTTGGTGACGTGTGTTGCTCTGTGAGACCAGAGATGTAGTTCATTGAGCGTTTCACACAAACAAATGTGTTACTTACACAGTTTTACGACACATTTCTTTTTTTTTGACTTGCAAAATTATCTTTTAAATTGACAAACATCATATGTGTAATTCGTGGCACAATTCAAACGGGATCGAAAGATAATCTTTCTCTCTCCATTGACTTCAATACATAATTTTTCCGAAATAAGGTCCCATGGAGGTCCACCGGAAGGGGAGGGACTTCGCCACTCTATTGCCACACACACAGAGCCGAGCTTGAATGACACAAGCACACGTTTATTTCCATGCAACTCTCTGATTGGTCTGGTGTCATGCCTCTGTTGCATTCACTGAACACGGGAAATTACAGTCCTGCCGTCCTCTCTTGTGTCATGATGAGGTTCACGTAAAGCACGGTTAATGTATTATATTATGAGACTGTTCTGAGCTCATATTTGTGGGCGATGTATGCAGCCTGTCCTGTAGACATTACTCAGGGCTGAAAACCCCACTATTTTCCTGCTTTAAAAAACGGTGGTAAATCTCAAAATATGTTTGTACACACGATCGAAATACTGTTTCCCACAGTCCCGAGGTATAAAATAACACATTCAAATACAAGAACACGCAATAATTACAAAAACCTCAAAATAACCGTTTACTTCAAGTAAGCAGGATATATATATATATAAACAAAGATGATTTACATAGTGCAAATGATCATGCAAAATATTTCCATAGCAGCGTAAAAGTGACTGGTGCTGGATTTGTTGTGTCTGTGTGTGTGGGGGAGTGTTAAAGTCCAGGTCCAGTGGGGGCAGGGTGGAGAGGTGAGATAGAGGGGAGAGAAGGGAGAGAGGGGAGAGGTGGGAGGGGGGGGGGGAGAGAGTTCAGCCTCCTGACAGCCTGGTGGTGTGTGCCTGATACTGCTGGTGCTGCTCAGAATTTGCATTTCCTTAACATGAACTTCCTCATTAAACTGCTGCACTGAAGGGAGTGGTGCAGTCTGTGTTTCTGGTCATTTGACTGACCCATTAGGTTTTTAAAATAATTTAAATGTAACTGACATCATTTATAAGATTTGTAAATGATCACTGCACACTAACAATGTTGGTTTCATCTAACAGAGCAAAGATGCAGTGGAGTCTGTTTGTGCTCATTCTGATGGGTAAGTGGATTTTAAATTAAATCACATCTGGAGTCATGAAACTGCTCACTCTTCATAACAATAAAAAGTGGAATAAGTGAACTCAGACCCCCGTTAAGATGAAGGGGATGGTGTAAGAGGTGGGGGTGATTTTAGTACTCATGAGTTTGATTTAATGATCAGGTGCTTGTCATACTGTCAGCTCCATCACTGCAGAATTGTCTCTGTTTTTAGGTCAGTGTTCCTTCTTCACATGTCACCTCTATGAGTACCACTTCATTCCTGAGGGAAAGACCTGGGAGGAAGCCCAGAGTTATTGCAGAGAGCATTTCACTGACCTGGCCACAGTGTCTGACATGAGAGACGTGGAGAGACTGACTAACTCTTCACAGACTACAGACGCCTGGATTGGACTGAGGAGCATCAATGAAAGAGAAATCAAAGAGTGGCACTGGTCTCTGTCGGGGGAGAAGTACTATCCTACAGAATGTAAACCAGGATGTGCGTCAGAATGGCATACAGATGAGCCGAACAATGCAGGTCACAATCCTGAGAACTGTGTGATGATTAAATCCTCCAAAAAATGGAACGATGACCGTTGTGAGAAAGAACGCAAGTTTATCTGCTACAATGGTGAATATATGTCACTATTAACGCTATATAAATTATATCATACTGTGTAACAATAGTTGACAGATAACTCACGTGTTACACTGTAGAGTTACATTAAAAACATTTTTGCTTTTTACTTTTCACATAACATTATTGATAACTTTGATGATACAATTCTACTTGTTTAAATACATTGTAATGGTAAAGTATAGGCCTATTTTTTTATTATGCAATCTACATTATTATAACACTTTCATCAATCTGAAACTGAAGTCAGATTGTGTTCATGTTTTTTTTACATAATTTTTTTTAACATGATTTAACTAAGAGAACATTATTTAAAAACTTGTAACATGTGTCTTTTCATTCTCACAGAAACAGGGCCACAGAAATACTTTTTAATTGATGAATCAAAGAAATGGCTTCAGGCTCAGAGCTACTGCAGAAAACATCACACTGACCTGGTCAGTGGATTCACACAGATCAGATCAGAAGAATTCAAGACATGGGTTGATAAAGTCAACAAAATATATTACATTTGGTCTTCTGACTTGTGGATCGGCCTGTTCAGAGAGATCTGGAGCTGGTCAGATGGGAAGAACGTCTCTTTCAGACACTGGGATCCGGACTCATTTGTAGATGTAGCCTCAAAGACTTGTGCTATGACTACGCCAAATGGAAAATGGATCTCCGACACCTGCACAAATAAAAAACCCTTCTACTGCTATGATGGTGAGTTTTTCAAGTATTTTATCTTCATGTCTTTAATTATATGTTTGTATATGTATGTTAATTATCCTTTAGTGGAGAAAATATTCATAATATACTTCCAATTACAGATCTGAATTTGATGATTATTCTTAATATAGATGAAAGCTTATTCTACTGAAAATTATAAAACCCTGAAAGAGCAGAAAGTAATGAATTTCATTTGGTCGTGTTTTTGTCCTCACATCTTTTTTATCCTGGCTTTTACAAAAGGTGCCACGCGATTTGTTGCCTTCATTTTCTTTATCAAGGCAAGTTTATTTATACAGCACCTTTCAACAGAAGGCATGCTTTACAAAAATGAAAGACATTAAGAGCATTACGAAACACATTATAAAATGATATCTAGAAACACTCATTTAAAAGCAAAGATAAAAAGCAAAGATAATAAAAGTTACAGTGCAGTTTAAGATATGAATATATCAATTAAAAGCAGCGGCAAAAAGAAAAGTCTTCAGCCTGGATTTAAAAGTAGTAAGAGTTGCAGCGGACCTGCAGGTTTCTGGGAGTTTGTTCCAGATATTTGGAGCATAATAACTGAACGCTGCTTCTCCATGTTTAGTTCTGACTCTGGGGACAGAAAGCTGACCAGTCCCTGAAGACCTGAGAGTTCTGCATGGTTCATAATTTAGCAGACATGTATTTTGGGCCTAAACCATTCAAAGCTTTATAAACCAGCAACAATATATTGAAATCTATTCTTTGACACACAGGAAGCCAGTGTAAAGACTTGAGAACTGGAGTGATGTGATCCACTCTCTTAGTGTTAGTGAGGAACTAGTGTAAAGACTTCAGAACAGGTGTGATGTAATCCACTTTCTTAGTGTTAGTGAGGAACCAGTGTAAAGACTTGAGAACTGGAGTGATGTGATCCACTTTCTTAGTGTTAGTGAGGAACCAGTGTAAAGACTTCAGAACAGGTGTGATGTGATCCACTCTCTTAGTGTTAGTGAGGAACCAGTGTAAAGACTTCAGAACAGGAGTGATGTGATCCACTTTCTTAGTGTTAGTGAGGACTCGAGCAGCGGCGTTCTGAATCAGCTGCAGCTTTCTAATGGATGTTTTAGTGAGACCTGTAAAGACACCATTGCAGTAGTCGAGTCTACTGAAGATAAAAGCATGGACAAGTTTTTCCAAATCCTGCTGTGACATTAGTCCTTTAATCCTAGATATGTTCCTTAGGTGATAGTAGGTTGATTTAGTAACTGTTTTAATGTGACTATTGAAACTCAGGTCAGAGTCCATGACTACACCTAGATTTCTGGCTTTATCTGTTGTTTTGAACATTGCACATATCATTGGTTTTCATTTGGTTTCTAAATATATATATATATTTTTCGAGACTTTTATTCATTATAACAACAAATGATGATTGCATGGTTTCACCAGGATTTTCAATCTCTCCCTGACCAAAGCCATCATCCCATCATGCTTAAAATCAGCAATCATAATCCCCGCCCCCAAAACAACAGCAGCCAACAGCAGCCTAAATAACTTCAGGCCCATTGCCCTAACATCGGTGGTTATGAAATGCTTTGAGCGGCTGGTCTCACATCACATCAAGGCCTGCCTCACCCCAGCTTTCGATGCTCATCAGTTTGCCTTCAGGCCAAACCGCTCCACGGAGGATGCCATTGCCATAACCCTCCACACCTGGAACATCCAGGGAACTATGCTAGGCTTCTCTTCATAGATTACAGCTCAGCCTTCAACACCATCATCCCTGACATCCTCATCAATAAACTTCTTGACCTCCACCTGCCCCCCTCCACCTGTGCCTTGATAAAGGATTTCCTCACAAACAGACCACAATGTGTGAAACTGGGCTCCCATCTCTCTTCCACCCTAACACTCAGCACTGGCTCTCCCCAGGGCTGTGTGCTAAGTCCACTCCTGTATGCCTTATACACGCATGACTGCTCTCCCACCTACCCTTCAAACACCATCATTAAATATGCAGACGACACCACCGTCATCGGGCTCGTCTCAGGAGGCGATGAGACAGCCTATAGAGAGGAGGTCCGGAAACTGATCAACAACCTACTGATAAACTCAATAAAAACTAAAGAAATCATTATCGATTTCAGGAGAACCAGCATAGACCACGCCCCCCTCTACATTAACGGGGACTGTGTAGAGAGGGTGCCTTCATTTAAATTCCTGGGAGTCCACATCTCCCAGGAGCTCACCTGGTCCACAAACACCACGGCAGTGATAAAGAAGGCCCAGCAGCGACTGTACTTCCTGAGACTGCTCAGAAAGAACCATCTGAATCAGAAGCTGCTGGTGACCTTTAATCGCTCTACAGTTGAGAGCGTTCTCACATACTGCATCTCTGCTTGGTATGCAGGATGCTCGGCTGCCGACAGGAAGGCTCTGCAGAGGGTCATTAACACGGCCCAGAGGATTATTGGCTGCCCTCTGCCCTCCCTGGAAGACATCACCAGCTCTCGCTGCCTCAGGAGGACCAGTTCCATCCTGAAGGACTCATCCCACCCAGCCCGTCATCTGTTCGACCTGCTGCCCTCGGGCCGGCGCTACCGTTCACTGAAAGCCCGCACCTCCAGATTCACAAACAGTTTCTTCCCATGGGCCATTAGGACATTAAACACACAAAAATAACTCCCCATATCCCCACTGTGCAATAATCATGGTCTGTCTCTATACACTGTAATATTTATCATATATATTTGATCATAATTCTATTTTATTTATTTATTTATTTATTTATTTATTTATTTATTTATTTATTTATTTATTTATTTATTAATCCTGGTCATCTACATGACGATCCGAAGCTGTGTGCACTACTTGCTGGTCGTAACTGTCAGACCTTTTAATCTGTGTTTAATATGTCTGTTTTTAAAGCACTCGCTGGAGCAGTGACTATAAATCTCGTTGTATTCTGTACAATGACAATAAAAGCTTTTGAATTTGAATTTGAATTTGAATGGTTCTATGTATGTATATTGAAATTCAGAGTTGTTTTTCAATAAATGGTTAATCTACATTTGAAAAAATATCCATTTCAATTACAGACAAAGTGATCCTGATCAAAGAGAATAAGACTTGGGATGAGGCCCTGACTTACTGCAGAGTGAAGCACCGTGACCTGGTCTCCATCACTGACAGACACCAGCAGAGATGGGTCCAAGAGGGAGCCAAGAGGGCCGACACTGAGTTCGTCTGGCTGGGAATGCGCTACACCTGCACTCTGGATCTGTGGTTCTGGGTCATTGATCGACTGGTCTGCTATAACAACTGGGCCCAAGAAGAAAAGACAAGACAAGTTCAGTGTGACATGGCTACAACCATGAAGAGAGATGGAAAGTGGTACAAAAAGGCTGACAATGAAAAGTTTAATTTCTTCTGTGTTAAGTAAACCCATTGGTATATTTACTGCAACAAGCTCACTCTTCTCTAATCTGTATCTGCTCTCTGGGTTTATTGAATGGCTCTAGTTCAAATTTAGAAATCACAACCTGAAGAGGGGAGAAACTAAATTACTAATTGAGGATTAGAAATTGAGAAAAAGGGGCGACACTAAATTTTGCCTCTGTGAACATCTGAATTACTTTATGATATGGATTTGTTGTAGTAGTTATTGATATAATTCATGTATATTTATCCTCTTAAAGTGTGAAACCTGTAATCTTCAATCTTGAATTGTTGATGTGTCCTATAGAGAGGCGAAGTCCCTCCCTTTTCCGGTGGACCTCCATGGGACCTTATTTCGGAAAAGTTATGTGTTGAAGTCAATGGAGAGAGAAAGATTATTTTTCGATCCCGTTTGAATTGTGCCACGAATTACACATATGAGGTTTGTCAATTTAAAAGATAATTTTGCAAGTCAAAAAAATGTGTCGTAAAACTGTGAAGTAACACTCTTTTTTGTGTGAAACCGCTCAATGAACTACATCTCCCGTCTCGCACCACACACCAAGACGGCCTTCACGTTGGCACATTTCACTTCTTTCTTTCAGAATGAGGCGGAAAGTATTAAAAGAGGTGAAAATCACTCCAAGTCTGGGCATGTTGAGAGCTGTACATACACACAAGGGGAGTTAGTCGGTTCCGTAAGAGCCAGCATGCGGGACCCGGACTCTGGGATTTGTAGTCTTTCTAGTTGCATATTTTTCATAGTCTTATATTTCAACAGTTTTACGACAAACTGTGACTTTTTTGACATGGAAATGATTTTTTAAGATTGACAAACATCATATGTGTAATTCGTGGCACAATTCAAACGGGATCGAAAGATAATCTTTCTCTCCCCATTGACTTCAATGCATAATTTTTCCGAAATAAGGTCCCATGGGTCGGAAGTAGATGGGCGGGACTTCGCCTCTCTATTATATGTTCATGAGAAAAAATATATAAAACGACAAATCTATAATGTTTTGCTTTTCATAAATATTTCACGTTATGGTTGAAATTTGGTGATGGTTATAATATGTGTATCACTATTTTGTCATATTTACCTTTTGTGGAGTTTTAACTGGATGTTTAATTGTCTAAAGCTGAATAAACGATCTGACCCAAAAACAAGGTGTGGTTCTTTCATCCACTGGCTTTAAATAGTCATGTTTTACATTTACATAAGAGGTGCTTATTTGAAAGTAAAACACATATATAATGTATGGGTTTATAATTGTATAAACTTGTAAATTGATGGAGATATTTTTGTTGGTCTAGTTATCTTTTAACACTAGAGGGCGCTCTTTAACAAGATCTTCTGTTGAAAACATGTGCCTGCTGTCAGTGAGATATGCCTATGATAGCAATGCATGTATAAACATCTTACAAACAATTTCATTATGACTTTCAAAATAGAAATTTGATTGAAAATAAATGTCACGTAATTTTAAAACATGAGTCTCAATTTAACCCCATTAAATATTTTGGAAACTTTACTGCACACATGTTCAGTTTTACACTATATTGAAATGTAAACGTTTAATTAATATTAGCTATATAACACGTGGCAGAAACAAACCTAATAGTCTGCTTTTTTCAAACAGTTTAAAGGGCCCATGTCATGGCCATTTCCACTGATCATAATTACATTGTTGAGGTATACTAAAATAGATTTATACTGTGCAATTTTCCAAACTCACATTGGTTTCGCATACAGCATCTCTGTCAAGTATGTGTATTCAGCAGTATTCACTCTCTCCACTAAACGACTCGTTGGAGCTCTTGCCCCCCCCTCCCTGTGAGCCTAGTGTGCACCGATTGGTCAGCTCGGCCACTCTGTTCTGATTAGTCAACCACCAGAGAGGCTCCGCCCATGTCTAACAGTGCTTTTTTCGGCTCGCTCTCAGCGGAACATCAGTCTTATAATGGCGTCGGTACAGCCGTATATTTTATACGCTAACTAACCGAACTGTACCTACAACTGTTGTTATAGAAGAGTGTGACGGCCCCAGGGCCTTTGTCTTACGATGGGGTGGAGCTGAAGAGGCTAATCAGCGCGATCACGGACACCTGGCCGGAGCCGAGGTGCTATTAAGCCCAGCTGCCCGGAGTCACACGGCGGCCCCTGTCTCTCTCCAAAGCGGCTCGGCGATCCTCTCCCCTCGACCACCTATCTCTGCATTTACCACAATAAATGTGCCGTGGTTTTGTAAACTCGTGTATGTCTCCTTGTCTTTCCGTTGTGGCCTACGAGCCGGTCATAACAAAGAGTAAGTTATTTTTACCTGTTATAAACTACTACTGTTTGATGAGAAATCAAATCATGGTTTGCTATATATGAATGATATGTTATAGGAGCAAATAATTCAGGGAAGAAAGGATAGGCCTACTAAGTATATCCATTAACCTGTTACGCACCTTCCGCCCGGTACCGGGCGGATAAACGCGTCATTTGCAGGAAACAACGTCTAAGGAATCTTAATATTGAATAAAACTATGAATGTGTTATATCCATGTAACGGGAAGAAACTCAGCTAACTGATCTTTTTAATTTTTTTTTTCAAAAAAACCCCACAATGCTAGCACTCAGCCTCTGAATTAGCCACGAGCGAAAACATGGAACGTAATGCGGCACTTAAACTCACTCAGAACTCCCTTATTACTTAGCCTAGATGCACAACCAACCACTCTTTTTTGGTGTCCTGGAGACACTGAATCTAACGGTGCCCTCCTCAACACTCAGTGATAAACATTCGCGACGCTATAAACGAAAGCGTACATCATCACATGTGGAGCTAAGTAGCTAAACACGTAAACATGGCTTACCTTGGTCAAAAGTGGTCTTCAATGGCATTAAAACGATAAAAAAACGATGCTGCAGTTAATCCATAGGTTCATCCTATGTGTCTGTGCCTTCTTTGAAATTATTTCTGATAATCCATAAGCAATACAACTGCGTTTTAGTTTCCAAACTCCAGAAGGAGACATTCTTCCACTTTGCTTTCGTTTTCCACACGCGAAGCGCCCACATTTTTTCTTTACAACGTGTGTGGGTGTGTGTCTCCCCCTTCGATTCCATTGGCTCTAACGGTCACAAGGGTATGTCAACCAACCAAATCGACCAAGGGGGGCCAGAGATAGGTCAAATCCACCCAAATGACTCCAGAAGTGGGGGTTTTTGGCTAAATCTCTCTAAAAAGGTCAAATTTCACTTGTTTTGCATCAATCTTGATACAGGGTACTTATTATATGTTGTACTTTGGATTCCTAAAGCTTTTAGTCTACTAACCCATCATCCAAGGGTAGTTTTCACTATCTGTAAAAAATAATTTTTGGACGGACACTATAATTTACAGTTTTTTACTATGTAAAATCTGAATTTTCTTTAAAATAAAAAACATTTATATTGATTCTGACACTTCTACATCCAACTCACAGGTTTATCATTACTTTGAGAACAAAGATTATTAATTTAACCCTTTTAGAAGGGAAGATATGGTCATTTGTTCTGGGAATGTCATTTTCGAGCCTGAGACCTGAAAAACAGGCTCAAAGTGGAACAGGTTAAACTTTATTTTGAGAAATGTACAAAATGAACATAAATATACATATATACACGGTATATCATCAATTCCTCCCCGTTGTCGGCATCTTGCCTATCGCAGCCGGGGCTTTTTAGGACGATGCATCAGTGTGGTAGTCCCGTCATGTATTGTCCGGCAGGATCTGGCTGGACGAAATCAAATGCAAATCACAAAATATTAGAGAAACTTAGTTGTTTTAGATTCGTTAGTAGTAGTTGTGGTAGGAGTCTATCTAATGAACACAGTAGCTTGCCAGCTAATATGCTAACCTAGCTTTGTTTACCTTGGTAGCTAACACGATATGAACGCTAGCTCGGAGGAACGGCAACTATAATGTAGAGTAATAAAACTACTATGAACAAAAGCTAGTGGTTCATATTAGGCTAGCAATAACGTGTTTATAATTGCAATCTTATACGGGTAGTCTGCTACGTTCGGTCATTCATTGTAACGGTCATGAATACATTGTTTTTGCGCTAGCATGTATAGCTAGCCTCGTTAGCTATACATGCAGTATGTACATGGACTGTCACAATGTACGGTAAATCACCCGGAGTATACTGTATGACTATTCCGTTTGTGACTGCAGACATTCTCCTGCCATGACAAACATGTAAGGCCATCTGCTGACATTGTAGTTGATATATTTAAACGCTAGCAACGTCGTTAGCCCAGTAAGCTGGGCTTGTTTAGTGTAATAAAACCACTATGAACAAAAGCTAGTGATTCATATTAGGCTAGCAAGAACGTGTTTACAATTGCAATCTTATACGGGTAGTCTGCTACATTCATTGTAGCTGGCATAACAAAAAAATTCCCGAGCAAACCCATGTCTAGCTCCGTTGGTTAGCTCGGTAGCATACACGCTACGTCAGCTATAATGTAATTACGTTTCGCGACTGACCGTACGGCAAATCACCCGGAGTATACTGTCTATGAGTATTTCGTGTGTGAATGCAGACATTCTCCTGCTATGAGATACATGTATGCAAGGCCATCTGCTGATATTAGAGTTGATATATGGAAACGCTAGAAACTTAGTTAGCACAGTTAGCACTGTGTCAATGGCTTAGCAGTCCGACACAGTTTATACATTTAAACAGTCTTGTTTGATAAATACACAAATAACAATGCAAACTTACAGGTTGTGTACCCGAATCTTCCCCTGCTCCAAACGGTCCAAACAAACTAGGAATAGCATCGTCCTTCAGTTTCAAATGCTGTGCATATCCGGCCTCAAACTGGGCAATGTTTTGGAAGCTTTCGTCTGTGAAATGCTGCGCACACAGTAACGTTCTTCGAACCTCTGAAGGAACAGTGTTAAAAAGACATTTCAACCACTGACTTTGTCGTGGTTCTTCCGTCGGTAGGACAAACAGCTCAGATTTCTCCACACATTTCAGGAAACAGGTCCTTGGCATTGGCATGACTGGATCGATTGTGAACTGAACCAGAGCTTCCAACAGTAAATGTTAGGCTGGCAGAGGGTAAGGCCAGCGCCGCTGGGGGTGACCATAGCTCTTCCGGATTGGTCCATTTTGTTCCGGGTACCGCATGACATCATGCCGTACCCGGAACTAAATGGAAGACTCAAATGGGCAGTGACGTATCTCCAACGAGGCGTTTGGGGAGGTATTTTCTGTGTTAGAGTTTTACTCGCTACAGGGTGTACTTTGAGGGTTTTGACTCTGCACACCGTTTACATGCATAAAAACCTTCATAACACACAAGGGGACGGGTAATAA